TAATATTGATGTTTTCTTGTTTCCTCTTAATGGAATTCTCTTATGGTATGAAGGATTTGCAAAGGATAAATGCTTGCTCATTTCTAAAGTGTTTTTTGCAACTGTTTTTTAACAACCACCTGTTTTTATTAGAGCCCTTCCTTTTTCAAGGTTCTTATTTTGACAGCACAAACTTGTAACTGTGCTTTCTTTAGTATTTTTATAACATATAGTGACCTAATTCCAAATTGATAGCAGGTGGGACTGGGGCACAGTTAGTGCTATCTCATTTTCTTCTTAGATTATGAATTACTAAATTATAGGTTTTTTAATTATAGTTATTTCATAGAGATAAAGTAATTAGTCTACCAAGTGTTGGCTTAAATGTATAAGACTTGGAACAATATAGAGAACTTCTTGTCTATTAAGAATCTTAGTTCTTCATTCTACAGTCAGTCAATTAAGTTGTCTTAAATAGAGCTAACCTTTTTCTGATTAGTATAAAACAAAATAACTTATCTCACATCATCCTCAGTGGTCTCTGTCTATATCTCATTGAATTTTATACGGTTTGTAAAGCATCTTGCTTTGTATCTTATATTTCCAGCCCAGCAGAGCTCTGACTACTTTTTTTGGTGGTGTTGGGAAATGAAAATAATGATCCATAACAAATCTAACCTTTTTTCTGATGCCTTGTATATGTATTTGTTGAATGAATTATGTTTCCACATATTTTCAGTGAGCTTTGTAAGTTATCTAACTTGGAGTTAAAGTGATAAGTCAAACAATATTTGAGTTGCCTTTATACCACAATTATTACTTCATGTAATGTTTGACATTAATTTATCATTTTTCTCTTTTCAGGGGCTCCTCCATTTTTGAGACCTCCTGGAATGCCAGGACTTCGAGGGCCTTTACCACGACTTTTACCTCCAGGACCACCACCAGGCCGACCCCCTGGCCCTCCCCCAGGTCCACCTCCTGGTCTGCCTCCTGGCCCTCCTCCACGGGGACCCCCACCAAGGCTACCTCCCCCTGCACCTCCAGGTGAAGCTTTCAGTTTTCTATAACAAAAACATTCTACTGTAAATTTTATTTGCTTCTAGATATTTTGTCACATTTCACTATATTGCAGTTGTTATTGCCCTAGATTGAAGTAGAGTTCTTCCCATGGGTATTTGCATTTGCTTCGGCCTATCACTTGAGGGATTTATCTCAGCCAAAGACCACTTTAGATTTTCTATTTGAGATTTTTCTACTTTTTGATTATAGCTATAATTATGATGTTGTTCCATGTGTCTGCATGAGTACAAACTTGAAGCTTAAAATCACAGGGAAGATTTTTTTCCCCTCCCTCTACCCAGCAGCAGAATTATACCTGCAGATTTCCTTGTGGGCTTGTATTATGTGGCAAATTTTTTTTTTTTTTGGGTGTGGTTTGATTTTTGTTTTGTTTACTACCCTGAATATTCTAGTTTAATATAAAAGTCTCCTTTTGAACAGTTCAGCTTAGGCTTTTAATTTCTTTCTTAGTAGTAGATAGAAAATTATGAGTTTATATAATCAATAGTATCTTAAATTTGATAAAATATGGTGCAATATATTCAATCTTAAAAGTGGTATTTGAAAAAAGTTAAAATCTGCAGGTTTTGGTATGACCATTTTATGTCTAAACCATCAGTAGGACTTGAGTTCTTTTTAATGGTAATGGAATTTGATTAGTAACATTCTATCATTCCATGTCCATTTAAAAGCCTGAGTCATATTTTTATTCCCTTCCCACTTAAGTTGCCTTTTAAGTAAATAATGCAAGGAACAGCAGCCCCTGACCTTGGCCATATGCACCATATAGCCAGAATAGCATCTGGGCCATCAGATTTGAAGTAGACTTTGGAACCAGTTGGTATAATCAATTTTGCTCAATATTTTCAAGTAGATCATTAATTAGGAAAAAAAAAGTGCTATAAGTACAGGGGCACAGACTGAAAGTGAAAGTTGTTTTATTCTTTACTATCAGAATATATTCCTAACTTTCAAATAACGGATAGTATGAGTTGAGCTTATTTTCAGTAAATTGTTATCTGTTTCAAAAAAATTTTAATCCACCTGTGTTTAATCGTCCTTAATAGCATTTAAATTATATTGGTTCTTGTGTTCATCCTGTTTGTTTTGTTGTTTTAGGCATCCCTCCACCTCGCCCTGGCATGATGCGCCCACCTTTGGTGCCTCCACTTGGACCTGCCCCACCTGGGCTTTTCCCACCGGCTCCCTTGCCGAATCCGGGGGTTTTGAGTGCCCCACCCAACTTGATTCAGCGACCCAAGGCGGATGATACAAGTGCAGCCACCATTGAGAAGAAAGCCACAGCAACCATCAGTGCCAAGCCACAGATCACTAATCCCAAGGCAGAGATTACTCGATTTGTGCCCACTGCACTGAGGGTACGTCGGGAGAATAAAGGGGCTACTGCTACTCCCCAAAGAAAGTCAGAGGATGATTCTGCTGTGCCTCTTGCCAAAGCAGCCCCCAAATCTGGTCCTTCTGTCCCTGTCTCAGTACAAACTAAGGATGATGTTTATGAAGCTTTCATGAAAGAAATGGAAGGGCTGCTGTGACAGCTTTTGATGTCAGAACAGGCTTCTGTTCACTACAGTGGTTCGTGGAACAAGAGGCTCTTATTAAACTTAGGTGAAAGAGCTACTTCCACTGTCAGGGTATTTTCTAATTTCAGTTCAAGGAAAATCTTAAAATACAGCCTTGTTCAGAATTTACTGCACATAAGAGGGTAATTTACTGCACATAAGAGGGTATTTCACTCAGAATAGATTGGCTATTGCAGCAGTGCTGCTAACATCCATTTCCTTTCACACTACCATCTTCGTCCAGTTTCTTCCCCTTCTCCAGTTCTTTGGAAATTTGTGATCAGGGGAATCTTAGTTACTTATTTGTTTTGACTCTCTTCTTGTGTGCTGTGGGCACTGGAGTAGAGATTTCTGAAACCCCAGTTTATTTCATCTTGCCTTTTGTGTTTGAGTTATTTTTAATATTTTCCTGTAAATATTTTGTAATAATTTTACTTGTAGTGAAATGGATCACAATGTCATTTCCTAATACAAAGCAGGATATGTGGGAAGAAAATGTACAATTCTTTGATTAAAATTATTTCCCACTGATCTGAACTTTGAGTGTTTCATGGAAAAAAAAAATAAAATAAATGTTCCACACCAAGGTATTTCTGTGTCAATAGTAATGTTTAAACAATATTAGTTTTATGGGCAGGGGAAAAAAAAAGTATTTAAAACTTGAGTTTAAGGAACTATTGTTTCAGGTACAGAATAAGAATCTTATTGAAATCATGGCAAAAAGTAATTTTAAAATTTTAGGGGCTAAAGAAAAAAGTTTTTCTTTAAGAGTATCATATTGGCTTTAGAAAAATTGAGGGGTATTTATTACAAATACTACGACTCACCTTTTATTGCTTTTTTTTTTTTTTTTTTTTGTACCAGGAATTGAATCCAGGGGCGCTCTACCACTGAGCCACATCTCCAGCCCTGTTTTGTATTTTATTTAGAGACAGGGTCTCACTGAGTTGCTTAGCACTTTGCTGTTAGTGAGGCTGGCTTTGAACTCCTGCCTCAGCTACCTGAGCCACTGGAATTACAGGCTACCTTGCCTGGCCAGCATAGGCCATTTTAAGCCACTTCTAAGCTATTAGAAAATCAGAAAGGGTTACTATTTCCTGTTTTGAATGATGAAGTGTATGTGTTTTTAGATTAAAACATTAATTAGAATGCTTAACACTATTAATTAGCATTGATATTTTATTTTTACAAAATACTTTTTATATACCCAGTAATCCTGGGAGATGACTCAGGTATTTTTACTATTTCACATTTGAGAGTGTTACAACTTGAAAAGTGTTCATGATTTATCCAGTGACCCGGTTGTCGGGGGCTGCTGCTCCTTATATTATTTACTTATGTCCATACCACTGTTATGACATACCCAATGTATGGATTGTGTTTAGGCTAAATCCACCTTACTTCACTGTATCTTAAATGACTTTTTGTGCAAATCCCATACCATCAAAGATTGGTAGTATCCTAAAAGGTAATGCAGTGATAAAATAAGGCTATTATTTTATCATAGCTGATTTCTCTTGACAGATTTTTAGGTTGTTTTTTTTTTAAATATTTTTTAGTTGTATGTGGACACAATGCCTTTATTTTTTTTTATGTGGTTCTGAGGATCGAACCCAGCGCCCCATGCATGCCAGAAGAGCTCTCTGCTACTGAGCTACATCCCCAGCACCAGATTTTTAGGTTTTTATTCTGAAATCTTTTGTATGTCTGGCTTCACCTAGAAGTTATTTGTTCTTTCAGATTAAGCAAATCCTGCTGAAGTAATTAATAGACCATTTAGGTTTTTTTAGTGTAATATAGGTCAGCAGGTGAATTGAATCTTTGATCATTTAGATGGAAGAATTCAACACAATTATCAAGTGTAATTACATTTCAGCATTAACAATTTGGTCTGTGTTTACGGTATTTTTATAATGTTCTTGCTTGAAACTTTTTTTTTGAGATAAAAAAGTTTTATTGCTCTGCTGCCAGGAAAAACAGTATACTAGAGTCTGTGTAGAGATGATTCAAAGACTACATTTCACGTGTGCCCAGAGGGTAGGATAGTCTCCTAATTTACTTGTTAATTTGGGAGTTATTTTAGATTTTCTGAAGCAATCCCTGAAATCTGAACTTCTTCAGTCCTGTGATTGGTGTGTGCTTAAGGACAGATAACCTTGCTTGAAATTTATATATCTGGGAGAGATTTCTGTTTCAAGTAATGTAGGGAAGCATTTGGCATTTTAAAGATATTACCTAATATTTTGCAAGTTTTTTCAAAATCATTTTAGTGGTAAAAATCCTACAAATTTAGTTTGTAAACTGCATCTGCAGGGAAGTAGAATCAACAGTTCTAATTCTGGGTAAACTTTTGTTATGGTCATAATTTATATTGCGATTTCACAAGTGTTTGATCTGATTAGGTCACTGCTATGAAATAGAAGCTGGATACAAATATTTGCTCAGGTATGTGGGTAGACTTGGTACTGTTTCCTTAACAAATCACTGATTTGTTACACAATAATTGCCCCTTAAAGTCATTTTGAAATGACTTTTACTCTCCTGAGCTGTAAAATGTGAATTAAGGATCCCACAATAATAACTGCCATGGCATAAAGCAGCAGCAGACAGCCCTAGATGTTATTCAAGGTACTGTTTAGTTTTCATTCTTGAACTTGTATTTTCTAGTTTGTGCCACTTTTTAAAATAGCTTCTTATTTATTTATAGCCAGAAGGGTTATTTAAAAATATTTTTAAATTGTTTTTTATTGTACCCAAGTAATTTCTTCAGACCATTAGATACCACAGTCAGTCACCACATCCTTCACACTGCACACCTGCTTTATATCTGACTCAAATTAGGAGTTATAATATCTAAATCAGAAATTATTGGGAGGATGAGCCTAATGACATGACTTCTGGGACTCAAATTTGTCACCAAGCAGAGCCACACATAATTTTTACATATCTAGGTCCTAGGTTCAGGAAGGTATGAATGAGTTGGGGAGAGTGCCAGTTATAACCTCAGAAATAAGAACCTTTGACAAAAATTGGAATTGGAACTTTTATGAGGCCAAAATAACTGTCTGCCCACTTAAGTTCTCTCTGCCAGGGGCTTATAGTTTATCTATGAAGGAAAGAGGACAGAGACCAAAAGGGGAAGGATGGGGTTTTGCAAATGGAAGGGTATTGCTTATTCAACACACTTTGCAGGGAGGCAATAGCCAGTAGAGAGGGAGAAATTATGAAAGGGTAATTGATGGAATGAGGTACCTGAGGTGGGCATGAGCCAAAGTATAAAGTTAATTCCACAGGAGAAACTACTGGGAGCAAGGCACCAGAAACTCAGTGGTGAACGGTGTATCAGGAGATGACCTTAATGACCTGGGGAAATTTCAGGGAGTAAATTTCAAGGTATGTGTCTAAAACTTTGAATACTGTACTTTTCAAAGTTAATTTTTTAAAGAACTATGTTATAATAATTTTGGGAAAAGGATTGACAGCAATACATGCCACGTGCTGGTGAAGACACTCATTTTCTCTATAACTTTGTGTTAAATTTAAAGCAAATGGAAACATTTTTGCTATAAGTTTAAGAATATCAAATATATAGTACTGGTCTAATGATGCTTCAACCAAATAGAGAAAACTTTTTGGTTTTTTGGTGTTTTTTTTTTTTTTTTTTTCTTTCTTTCAGAAGTCTACAAAGAGAAGATCATGAATCCCAAATTTTTCCTTGACATGTTATCCTATACTTGCCCACATTAGACATTTTGACATTTTAAGTTTAAAAAGAAGTGTTGTGATTGTAATTTATTACGACGAATCCAATAGGAGTTATACCCCATTTGTAAGAGGTAAATATGCAGGAGAATTAATACTCTAAAAATTATATATATAAAATATTTTAATCTCATTTAATATTTCATGAAGAAAACATTAGCATTTATATTCATAGAACCTCAGAAAAAATGTAGAACACAAGGAAGAACAGAAATAACCACACTGTTCATTATTACTTCACTCAGCAAACTTGATCCCAATAAGATGGAGAATGAGGCAAAGAAAAAAGGAAGGTGAAAGCCAGATTCACACAGAAAGGGGGAAAACAAAGGTGTAGCTCTAAAATTCTGTTGGGCTTTATAAAACACATCACCCACAAAAGAAAAGGCCATATATAGTATTTCTATAAAGGCTAAACTTTTTTTTCTGGAAGAAAAAAAGAACAATGTACCTAGCAACTTACTGCAGAGAAAATCATACCTTAAAAAAATGTTTGTTGGCTTTCTTAAGTGAGAAGGGAAGCAAAATACACACCAAGTACAAATCCAATGTTTCCCAAGATTGTTTTTATTATTGAACAACCCAGATCAAAGGCAGAGGTATTTTAAAACTCACATTTGTACTCAAAAGTTTTTTCATGAGATATATGTTCATTTTTAAGAAAATAAAGAATATCATGAAAATACAACATTTATGAAGAAAAATTAGTAGAACAACAGTTATTTAAATAGATGCATGTGGTTAGGGGAATTTTTTATTTTTGTTTGTTTCTACTAATTAGAGCAAGGATCAACAAACTTTCTCTGAAGGGCCAGATGGTAAATATTTGGGACTTTGTCAGTTGTATAAAGTATCTGTCACTAAGCTGCTTTCATTGCAGGAAACCACACTGTAAGTAGATGGTCTGCTTTATTCCATGTCTTCATGGCAAAACACCTTTCCTCTTGCAATGCCCCTCCAGTGCCCTATACTGAGAAAACATCATCCTTATTATAATGCAAAATGCCTGAAGGAATTTCATGAGCGTTCTGAGACTTAGATCTGGAGCCCAGAGGTAATACATTCATGACTGGCACATAGGAATATATGAACATAAGAACAAATCAGAGTTCTTTTTTTTTAAAGAGAGAATTTTAATATTTATTTTTTAGTATTTGGTGGACACAACATCTTTGTAGGTGGTACTGAGGATGGAACCCGGGCCGCACGCACACCAGGCGAGCGCGCTACCGCGTGAGCCACATCCCCAGCCCAATCAGAGTTCTTTACCTCCACTCTTATAACCTTCTTATAAACCTCTTACCACAGATTCTTCAGCAAAAACAAACTGAATATTTTTTTAAATGAGAATAACATTTTCATCTTGGCTTGATGGAGGTTTTATATATAAACACACACACATATACATACATTGGTATATATATATGTATATATGTATGTATATATATAAAAGCTAATATAGACATACTAGCTTATATATATATATATATATATATATATATATATATATATATATATATATATAAAATACTTTTTAAGTTTGTGTGTGTGTGGTTCTGGGAATCAATTCCAGGACCTCACACTTGCTAGAGGAGTGCTCCACCACTAAGCTACACCCCCCAGCCATTTTTATTTAATTTTGAAATAGAGTCTAAGTTGCCCAGGCTGGCTTTGAACTTGTGATCTTCCTGTTTCAACATCCTGAGCAGCTGGGATTACAGATATGTACCACCAGACTGGGCAAACGGAATGTTTTTTAAGTTCCTTGTAGGGGCTTAGATACTGCTAGCTTATGTCTACTAGCTAATAATACAAACTCTTTTTGTGTCACTTTTCCTCTCAAAAAGTCTCAAGAGAACCCCAGTTGACTGGCAGGCTCCAAGTTACAAGTTTGTTCAACAGAAGGAAAAAAGAAAGAAAGAAAACACTCAGCGGAGCACAACAGACACTAGTATGGCAATATGTAAATCAATGGATGTGTAACTGATGTGATTCTGCAATCTGTGTATGGGGTGAAGGTGGGAGTTCATAACCCACTTGAATCAAAGTGTGGAATATGATATGACAAGAAATTTGTAATGTTTTGAACAACCCACAATTAAAAAAAAAAAGAAAGAAAGAAAACACTAAGAACTAGGAAGTAAAAAAAAAAAAATAATGATAATGCTCAAATGAATGATGACAGAGCCGATGGTATTCAGCAAATTAATCTACTCTTCTACATTTTCCAGATTTCCCTGCAGTTAGATTAAGTCTGCCTGGGCTGGTCAATGGGCTGAAGCAAAGAGGAGCTAATGTGATTTCTATTATCTCCATTCCCTATAACTGGAAAAGATGAGAGGTAGTTTTGTATGGGTGGTGAGTGGTGCACAGGAAGAAGGCAGAACAGGCTGGAAACTAAACATGTATTCATTGCTTAAGGACTGCTCTTGTGAAAGCTTCAGGAACACAGGGATTCCATCTGTCCTGGTTGTTCTTGTGACGATACACTGTACAACAAGGTTTTGTAAAGGAGCTAACTTTTCATGCTATGAAAGGTCTAGCAACATTCTTCTCCCATGGCAGGGGGTACCAACTCACATTTTATTCAGACAACTTGGAAGTCAGCCCCTCTAAATCCCCTCTGTACACTTTTCCACCCCTCTCTAAGGTCCCAAGAGGCTAAATTATAGTGATTACATCATTGGACTTTCTTATCATTTGTCTTCCATTTGGGCCGTGGGAGTGGAGGTAGAATGCAAGAAGGAAGGGAAAGTGAGGTCATGGTCATGGTACTTATACATAAATTTAAATATATATAATTAAATAAGTATATACAAATGCAAATATAAGACATGATTGATTACTAGGAATAAATGGAATACAATGTTAAAGAAACCAGAAAAATCTTATCCCCTATGAAAGCATACATAAAAAGATAAATTCAAGATAGAATGTTCCTTGATGAACATGAAAACTGGGGGTGTTGTTAGAAGATTTGGATATTTAAAGTATGTAAATGTGGTACTAAAATACTCAGACAGTTGCAGGGTGCTTGGACACTGCCAACATTTGCTTTGAGATGTCTTGGTCTACTTCCATTGCTGAGAAATTCCTTTTCTGGGTATCACATTATTTCTTTAGCTACTGAGAAAGGAAAAGCAGCCCATGACAGATAGCAGCTGGCCTGGACTATCATCCAGACCTTGGTGTTGCTAAGAGCTGGCTCAGCATAGCTCACTTTGATGTTCTACAGAACATAAACAGTTTCATAAAATATCAACACCAGAAAAGCCCACTAAGTGACCTTGAAAAATCAAAACAAAAACAAGACCATGTCTGAACATAAAAAAGGTAAGAATTATTCAAACCACAATGGATAAATACACTAATGCTGTGCTGCATTAGCATATTTATCAATTATAGCTTAGCTTCACTTCATTCCACACAATACAGCTTTCCCTACACCCTATTTCCTGACAACTGGCAATCCTGAGCAAAGTCTCCAAATCAACCAACCCAAATCCAAATCCTAGAATAATCCTAATATTCTCTTACTCAAAGATCCCATATTTCTCTACAATGTGTGTTCTCCCTTGGGCAAAGAGCAATAAACACAATTTGTACAACTACAGGTGTAGTTCCCAGTAATCTTTGATTGAAGGACATCAACAAAACCTCAGGTTCAGCTAATGTGCTTCTTATCTGGACCAGGACTTAACTCAAATAAGTGTATTCACATAAGACTGCTTACAATTTTATCTGCATGAGGTGCACCTGTTCCTGGCTGGAAGGTGTGTTCATTATATATTGGCTAAAGTGCCTCAGTATTGTTTTGTTTCCCTCTGGAAGAATATCTCTTGGATTTATTTTTCCAGTACTGGGGATTGAACCCACGTTCTCATGCATGTTAGGCAAATGCTCTACCACTTAGCTACAGCCCCCAGCACAGATTTTTTTTAAATTATCTAATTAGATTTGTATTCTTTGTAAAATCACTTTTAGTCTTATATTCCCTACTTCTACAGCTAATATTTAGTGATGTCTACAAAAAGGAACGTTTTTAGGGAGAAAGATTGATATAGGTTTAATAAATCCATTTGTGATCTATATTCAAGGGCTAAGAAGTTCAGAAGGGCTCCAGACCTTGGGATAAATTTTGCTTAGGCCCCATTTCCAAATCTGATTCAAAACAAAAACAAACACAAACAAACAAAAGACTTCTTCCTGAGCCCTGTCTTTCTGCCCCTGAGAACTGGTCTATTTAGTTTTGTCTTTGACTACCTGGCCCCATAATTGATGCTGACTGCCTTAATCCAGCTCTGGGGGTTAGAAGTTATGCATCTTTGCAGAACACTGCATTTGTCTCACTCATCACAATAAAACTACGTCTCTTCCAAGCCAATGCATTTCCTTTGTGCTTTCTCACTATGATGCTGATTTGTACACTTACCTAATAGGTTCAACTTGATGAGGGATATTGTGGAATTGTAGTGACTGCTTGGGAAAAAAGAAGAACAGTTTGTTTGAGAAGGACTTTGAAACAGAAACTGAATCAACTCCCCATGAACAGATTTGTTTTGTTTTGTTTTGCTTGTTTAAAAAAAAGGTAATTTTGTTGAGTGTAAGGTTCATCCTGGCTTTGAATCTATACTTTCAGGTTAAGCAGTGCTGGCTTTTTAAATTACACAGCTTGATAAGAGTATCAAGGATACAAATTACTTTCCAAATGTGCTATAATTCTCTTTCATATATGTATATATAAAAATCTGATTTTCCACAACTAAACTTTCTTTCCTCTCCTGATAGAGAGAAGTTTGCAGTGATAATTTCATATCTGCCCGAGGCTGGTTGTGTTTCTTATTCTTCTTTGTGTGTTGTTCCTCTTGTTCTCCATTTCCCTCTCTCAGGAAGCTCATCATTTACCTGATTTTAGAAAACAATGGTTTGTCAGCATCAAATTTTTCATGTTCTCAACATTCTAAAATGCCTACATTGTTTTTTATGAATTAGTAAGTTACCAACTTTTAAAACTCCCTTAAAATGAAAACATATGTAAAAATTATATTCAACTGAATGATAATAAAGAATATCAAAGATGTTCTTACCAATATTCTTCTTGACTATTTATTTTTGGTGCTGAGTGTTGAAATCAGGGCCTTGCACATGCTAAGCAAGAGTTCTACCATTGAGCTACACCCTCAATCCCTCTTCTTGACTTTTTAAAAAGACATTTTTCACATTTAACTGTTGCCATGGATCCTTCATATTTCTGTATGTAATATAAAAATGTAAAGGGAAAAAATTCATCTCTATTCCAATTCAATTAGTAAAGTGAGGCAGCTCGTTTGTCAGCATGTTCTATGTGTGGAAAACTAGTAACTTTTAAAAGACTATTTTCTAATTATATGAGAAAGTGTAAGCACTAGGAGGTGGCGTGGAGTACAGAAATCCAAATTATGAAAAAACAGCTCTATCTCTTGACATTTTCTGTCCTGGTTGTCAGCCATGTCTTCTCCCCTTCCTTCCTCTGCCAATCCACTAAATCTTTTAGACCTCCCAACCCCCTGTTGGCTGTGGCTATTTTCCATACATTCATTTATACATTTGTACATTCCTCCTGGATGATTTATCTACTCTAGCCATTTTTAGTCAAACTTATTCTTAGATTCAAATTCAAATACAGATGCCAGGGCTGTGGTAGTAGTAGAGCTCAGTAATAGAGCACTTGCCTACAATGTACAAAGCTCTGGGTTTAAACCCCAGCAACATGCTCACACACAAGACAACTGCCAGTTTTGTCTTTTGACCCCTGTAGCTTTGTGCACAGCCAATTCTCAGATTAACTTACACCTAGATCTAGTTCAGATGCCACTCTCCCCACCTGCTAGTGTTGCTACTAGGCTAACACAGGCACCTGTAACACCCTAGTATCTCCCTCTCTTTATGTGTAGCTGGTTATATCATTACATTCTTTTTGAATGTGTTTCTACAACAGTAAATTTCTTGAAAGATGGTTACCAATCATAGATGTAACACATTAATATTGCTCAGTTTACATTTTTAATCTGAGTAGGTGCACTTTATAAGCCATTAACTCTTTGTCTTCAGGGAAAAAATAAATTCAGGTTCACAAGCTTTAACCATTTCTTACTCTTTTCTGTTATAAACTGTGAATGTTCTGTAATTAGTACAACAGACACTAAAAATGTTTATTTTTGGTTTGCTATCAAAAAAGTCACAGGATTGTTAAATGTCTATTTAACTGTTTCCAGAGATTCCATAAATACTGCTACTCATTTCAAATCCAGTTTCATATGTAAATAAGAATAGCTATTATGCATTTGGCACATTTCTATATGGCAAATTTAGTGTCCTCATTCACATCTCACCAAATCTTTCCCAAATCCCCTTGAAGTGAACTATTATTATATCCATTTTATAGATTAAAAGTAAGGTTTAAAGAGATTGAGTAATGTTTCCAAAGTTGGATAACTAGTAAAGGACAGAGGAGATCTGAACCTATGTCTCATTCTAAAGAGCTTGAGTTCTTAAACACTGTGGTATTCGACTTTTCCACCACTTCAAGGGGCTTTGGGAAGAATTTGCATTCAGTGTGCCAGTCATCACCAACTATGGGATGAACTAGACCTTTAGATTCTGGGCAGACAAAACTAAACTGGCCAGTTCTAAGGGACATAAAGTCAAGACTGGCTCTGCAGGAAAAACAGAGACTAAATAAATCTCGGCCAAGTCACAACCTGCCACACTGAGGGTTTGTCTCTGCAGGAAAGAGTATGTGTGCAAATAAAACTATGCATTGTATATCTATTAAAAACCTGAATCCATTCTCATCAGTTGATGTCCTAAGTCTTCTTCCATATAGTCTCATGCTTGAAAAATTATTGCCTTTTAAATTAACTTCAAGAATGATGGTTTGTTTATCAAGTAACACAGGCTGAATTGACTTTGCAAGAAGGTATGACTTTTTAACTGCTAGTAAATTGTTCAATTAAAAAAACTCTCAAAAATAGAAATGTTGAGGAGTTAATTGAATTTTGAGGCTAGAAAAGTGTTTAAGAGGATCCTAAGAATCTCTGAAAGTTGGGTGGAGATGAGGGCAGTTACAATTTTGTATTTTAATCTTGCTTTTTGGGTAACAGGGTTAGACAGATTGCTATGAATCATCACAGGCAAAGGCAGAGTGGTTTTTTTCTTATAAATGTCTTGATGGCCTTTATCCTTATTTCTTCATAATTTGGTAAAGATCTCTAAGATGACTCATATCAAATCTTGAGGAAATTCAACTCAAATGTCAAAAAAACTGATATACATTCACAAATAATTGATATTATTTATATATATTATATAGTTGCTCTCCAATATCCATAGGTGTTTACTTTCAGGACCCCCTTTGAATACCCATGTCTGCAGATCTTCCAAGTCCCTTTAACATATTCAAATCCTCCTGTATAATTTAAAGCATTTAAGATTACTTATAGTACTCAATATAATGTAGTTGTTACATTGTTTAGGGAATGTTGACAAGAAAAAAAGTCTTTATGTTCAGTAGAGATTTTTTTTTTTCTAAATATCTTCTATCCTCATTTGACTGAATCAATAGATGTGGAAACCCATCCATGAATAGAGGGTTGATTGTGCATGTGTATATGTGTGTGTGTGTGTGTGTGTGTGTGTGTATAAAATTACATAATTTTTTTTGCTTCACTGCCCCCAAGTGGTATCACTGAGAATTAATTCTGACAATTCAGTTTGTGCTGGGTTTTTTTGTTTTTTTAATACTAGTAGCATGCTTATCTATAACTTATTCTGTAAGTGGAAACCCACCTTTATAGGAAATGGTACTTCTTTCAATTTAAGTAACTAATATATAGCACATTACAGTAAGTAGACAGTCTTGATCCTCAAAACAGGTATCATGACTATTTTACATATGAGGAAATCCTTTGAAAGGAAGGTAAGGAGTAGAGTCAACAGCTGGAAATCCTGGAACAACTCATGGTGCCATTGGAATCTATTTCTCAGGTATTAGGAGGCAATAACTGCCTCCTAAAATGTACATGTGACATCTTTGTACAACTCAAAGATGACCACAGGGGAAAAGTAATTCCAATATCCACTCAACAAACAGCAAAAGACACAAGTACTAACCAAAGCTCATCTATAATATTATTTATTTGTTTCTTATCTTGTCCTTCGTACCAAGGAGGGTGGGGAGGAAGGGAGTTCCAAGAGAGTATAAGTCTGGTTGACCTCATTGATAGCTGTACCCTCATCACTTAGTACACAGAATGGCACAGATGTTCAATAAGGATTGGGGATGAAATAGTCCAGGAGGGAAAATGGGCCAGTCACTGCTATCCCATTTCTTACCACCCACCCTCCCCACAGGACTACTTCAACTCTCACAGAAAAGATGAATCTATAAATTTGAAATCTAAGGTGGGATCTTTTTTGTGAGTCCTGTGGGCCAGTACGAAGCTTGCTCAGAAGGATGAAATGGAAGGTCAACCCAAGAACAGAAGAGAATTACTAATGTTGAACTTTTAAGTGTTGAGTCTCAGCCTGCAATGTGTTTTTCCCTGTATTTAAATCCTGTGGCCTTACCTTTCCTTGCTTATTTATTAAAGTAATGCTGAGCCAGTAAGAATCACAATTCCTACAGGGTTACTGGAATGGGGTCATTACTTCATGGAGAACAGGAATTTTAAGTAAGTTATTTGTTGAGTAAGTGTAATCCTTAAAAGCAAGGGTTTTGTTTTGTTTTGTAATTGAGCAAAGTCAAGTCATTTCCCAAAGAGCATAACATGGAGACAAGACCACTAAGAAGCCAACATTTGAGAAAATAATTTTAAAAGCTTGTAAGCATTTCTAAATCCAGATTAAAGATTCCACTGTTATGCAACGTGTCAGGAAAACATTACCACCCTCATGACTCATACTTCTGTATTACACAAATTACTGAACGTTTCCTTCATTTTAAAGAAACGAGAACATAAGGGTGCTAGGTTGTGATATTTGACATCCAGAACATGAAAAACATAAGAGCTATTAAGAAAGAATCTTAAATTGATACCGTGTCACCAGGGCCACACTTCAAAGAGAAGTTACTCCACCTTTTGAAAATTATGTCCAGAAACAACTTCCTAACCGAAACCAGCTCAGCCCCATGATTCTCCTTATAGCTTAGTCTTGGCCGCTCACAAACGGCTGAAGCCTTGGAAACGGGAAGTAAAATGCCAGAGTAGGCCGCACCGCACCTAGTCCGCCTCTCCTTTGCCTTCATGCAAGTAGGGGAGATCCCAACCCTGCCATCTCCAGACCACTGGAACCCTCTTGGTTTCCCTCATCCTCCCTCAACGCCTCAAGGGGGATCTATCTGCGGATCAGAGCGTTCGGAGGGGCTCAAGCGGACTGACCAGTACCTGCTCCAGAGGTTTCCGGTAGCCCCCCCACCCCCTACCCCGGCCATCCGGTAGGTCCCGCGACTACACAGCTCTCTCGACTACTGGATTTTCACCGACTTTATTGGCTCCCGACTCCGGCGGGCTCCTCACTGCCCCTCTCCCCGCTAGATCGTACTGGCCCTCCATGACATTCAGCACAATCAAAAACACTGCGGGACCGCTCTGGAAAGAGCCTTTGCTGGGGAAGTCAGCTTTCCCATGGTGGCGTCAGGGTCACTTGCTCTTCACCTTCTGACTCTCGGTCTTCTTGGGCAGCAACACAGCCTGGATGTTGGGCAGGACGCCGCCCTGAGCGATGGTCACTTTCCCCAGCAGCTTGTTTAGTTCCTCGTCGTTGCGGATGGCCAGCTGCAGGTGGCGAGGGATTATCCTAGTCTTCTTATTGTCACGCGCTGCGTTGCCAGCCAACTCCAGGATCTCGGCCGTCAGGTACTCCAACACCGCCGCCAGGTACACGGGCGCCCCAGCGCCTACTCGCTCCGCGTAGTTACCTTTGCGCAGTAGTCTATGCACTCGGCCCACCGGGAACTGCAGGCCCGCGCGGGAGGAGCGGGATTTGGCTTTTGCCCGCACTTTCCCACCCTGCTTTCCACGACCGGACATGTTCACTTCTCGCCTGAAACTCCAGTGAAGGAAATCACACCAGCAGGATCGGTATGGGAATGCAGCCTACCACAACGAACTGCCTCTAGAAACTCTCGGTGGCCACTAGGCAACGCCTTCCTATTGGGCGCCACGGCTCTGCTGGCCAGTGACGGACCGAGTCCGCGCCCAACTAGAGCGCTAGCAAAGGAAACGCCTGCGCCGATTCCTTCCAATCAGAAGCGCAAACTTCTAGTCCTCATTTACATAGCCGCTCATACGAATACCCCGGGGCCTGAATGCGCCTCTGCAGCGGGCCTGAATATGCTCAGTGGATGCTGAGTTTTCAACATTCACGCTTGCTCCCAGGAAAAGAAACCCTTAATAAATAAGATAACTTAGTCTGGGGATATAGCTTAGTTAGTAGAGTGTTTGCCTCGCATGCACAAGGCCCTGGGTTCAATTCCCATCACCTAAATAATACGACTGGAAACAAAAAGAATCCAAAAGATGTCAAGTTCCTGTGTTCTCTAGGTGGATTTTCTCGTGTAATAATTCAGCATTTTAAGTTGTCATCTGACTCCAAAGCCCGTGCTTGTGACAACACTGATCCTGCAGCGAAATCACAGACTCTAGCAGAATTCTGCCTGCCCAGTACAGGGTAGGTTGCCTCTTCCATTATACCAGCACCTTGCTTCCTTTTACCCAGCAGTCTGGGGGGGCTGGCTCCAAAAGAGGCTTTGTTAGTAGTTGGACACATGAACCTTCCTAATTAAACCAGTGGACACTGGTCTTCCCTCAAAGTTCTGCCACTCACAGGCAGCCAGTCTTACCCTTCTGAGGCTCTGATACTAAGAGCGATAGACAAGACAGAAGTGCTTTCTGTACTGGTGGAATAGGAAAAGAGCCACTGGATTCCATGCGAGAGACTGCAAGCACAGTTCGGTTGCTGAGGCTTCAAGTCTTGGCCTTGGCTTGCTTTCTGTAGGTCACAACATCTGGGCTCAAGTCTTGATGAACTCCGGGGACTAAAGAAAGAATGACAATAACTTACTCTTATCTACCCAATCTCAGACAATAACATTTGAAACAAAGTAAGGGTAGGTTTTTGTTTTTGTTTTCATTACAAATTACTTTCTACTAATTATTAAGGTACTTTCATTTACCTTAACATTTGTTACATTTTACAATTACATGGCTTTGTAAAATTAAACACTTGTATATCAAAATAAAATTTATGTGGATTTTAGCATCCATTTAAAAGTGAAATAAATTTGACTATTCATTGTCCTACTAAATATTTTTATTTCGTTGAGATAATGTTTACTTGTATTTATGTATATGTACCTTATTGGCAGACACAATGTTTTTGAAACTGAGAAACAAGTATATTGTCAAGGTTGAGGCTGTCATCCTGCACCAGACTGCCACCTCCAAATCCTGGTTTTACCACTTACTTATCTTTCATAGTTATTTAAGCTCTATACCCATCTCAAAGTGTTTTGAAGTTTAAATACATCAGTGAGCATCCAATAACTGTGTACTAAATTAAAATACATACACATCTATGCAGATTCAACAAGATGTTCCTGGAATGCATTCTGTAAACTAGCATAAATTTTTGCCTGTATCATGGGAAATTTTTAACAAAATTTTAAAAAATTACTGTGGACATTCCTTTTCTTTTATTTTAGTAAGAGAATTCTAACTTGAGTCAAGGCTTTACAATCACGTTGTTTAGTTTGACCACTCAGGATTTTTCCCAATCATACAGGGAGTGTTCTCAAGTCTCTTTTAATTCATCTTTTAAAGAGAGAGAGAGAGAACCATTAAAATATTTCCACTGTAGCATTTTTAAAAAGATAACATGAGTATCTGTAAAGTAATTGCTATAAGATGTAAAGTGTTTCTAGTTTTACTTATTTTCACTAGTTCATAAGCATAAGCTTATGGTATCATAAGCATAAGCATTCCGTTTGGAAAACAATAAACAAATAAACCACAGAATTAGCCGGAGCTGAGAAGAAGGGAGAGTCAGTCAGAGAACAAGCAAGCATAGAATTCCGTCTGCTTTTTATCTAAGCGGTGAGAAAGGGCAATACAAATTCTATTATCTTTTATTGTTTAAACCTTCAAATATAAGACTGTGAATCCGTCTTCAAATTCATGGCAAATTTTTCAAAAATATTTTTAAAAATTAAAAAAGCAAACAAAAGGAAATCGGCTTTATTTTGCTAACTACTTTTCTAAAATGGCAGTGATTAAAAGAAAGCTCCAAAGGCGGGGCCTGGAGCCCCTCCCACTTCCCTGAGGTCTTCAAACAGGTCCGCTACGAGGAAATATAAACTCCAACCGTGACTCAGACCTGCTCACTGCTCCTCTTTTAGTTTGACCGTACGGTAGTGCTTTTAAGATGTCTGGACGCGGGAAAGGAGGCAAAGGGCTTGGCAAAGGAGGCGCCAAGCGCCACCGGAAGGTTTTGCGAGATAACATCCAAGGCATTACCAAGCCAGCTATTCGCCGCCTGGCCCGTCGTGGGGGCGTCAAGCGCATCTCTGGGCTGATATACGAAGAGACCCGAGGAGTTCTCAAAGTTTTTCTGGAGAACGTGATTCGCGATGCGGTGACTTACACGGAGCATGCTAAACGCAAGACAGTGACAGCCATGGACGTGGTCTACGCTCTGAAACGCCAGGGCCGCACTCTGTACGGCTTTGGCGGTTGAGCTGTCTCCACAGCGCCCCCTCCACTCAAAGGCCCTTTTCAGGGCCCCAAAACGTCAAGAAAAGAGCTGTAAACACCACCATGCAAGCATCAGGTTGGGTACGGCAGAGCGGTGTCTTAGATATGCGACGTTTGCAACGGAGGCAATTGCTCTGGGTTAGGTGTGACATAAGTTGGCCAGAAGCATTAGGTCTATGGGCTGGGGTCCCCTCTGCCTTGGACAGCCTGCGAAGTGACTCCTGGGGGGGCCACAGTCAACTTGAGCGTAGATGTCTACGTTAGCAGAGCTGTGTTTTAAGAGCAGTTCAGCTCTTGGCGCCGCAATCCTCCCTCCCAGAGTATATATAGTGGTTGCTATGTAAATAAGGGTGAGCCGACTTGCCCCTTCCCATTGGATAGAAGCGTCTGGCGTCAGGGGCGGGTCCTCGCGTTGTAACCAACCGGGTAGGAGCAGAGGCGGGCGGTCGCGGTGTGTTAAGGTAAGAAGCCGTCACTAACCTTTCAGCGCCAGGTGCCACTCAGGAGTGGCGCGTTAAGAGTCTTTCCGGGTGTGAATGTTTTATTCCTTTGCTGAAGTTTAGAGTGAGAGGTGACCTAGCACAGCTAGATGTTGGAAGTTAGGCGGCAAAGCGAGGCGAAACCCAAGACCCGGCCCAAGTTCGGGAGTCTCTGCAGTTCCCGTGGGTTAGCTGCATTTTAAAGTCAGCTACACAGCGGCGGGTGGGGGGTCCTAGAGCGGGCGGGCGCTACGTCTCCTGCGGGCAAGAAAATCCAGGTCTTCTCCACCTGTACTTTAGTTGCCGGGAGTCCGAGGCAACCATGTACTAGTGGTCAGAACCGCTCAGGAGATTGTCACACGCGACCCATTGTCCATAGGAGATAAGCCCAGGATTTTGATTGAGCTCTTTGCTAAGAGTCTCTCGCGGTGCTCTAGAAGGGGAGGTGGGCGAGAGAGCTTTCGAGAGCTATGTAGTGGTGTGATCCTGCCGTGTGACCACGCAGTGTAGCCGGTAAAGGGGTGGCCTGTTGAGGCCTCTCTATCTAGGCTAGGAAAGGGCTGAGCACCGGGAGAACTGCATACGTAAGGGCCAGCAGGGGCCGCTAGTAAGGCGAGACAGGAACTGAAGTCGGTGCGGTTTAGTGAAGAGGCTCAGGACACTCGTCCCGCTCTCTTCCCCCAAAAGGAGGGCTTAGCAACACTAAACACCTCCAGCTGTAGCATTTCTAAACGTGGAAAGGGCCACTTAGCTCCGCGGAAGGCGGATGGCCGGTTGCTCCAAGAGTTTCCCTGCCGTAGTAGTGTCTGTGTCTAACGTTAAGAACGTCCTAGTTCTTGGGCAGCAGATGTTATCTAATCAAGGAAACATTACTAGTGTTCCCCCAGCGGGATCCTGTTTTTACTAGTGATGGGTACACTGTATTAAGTGCTTATTGTGAGCAAGGCACTTTGGAACACGCTGTATTCCATCGCAACTTTATAAAGTTTTTGTTTAAATTACTATTTTACAAATGAAATGACTAAAGGCAGTTAGCATTGGAGACAGATTTGAACCCAGTCCTTTTGGATTTCTCGCCCCTTGTCTTAACTTTTGTGCCCTTTCCAGAGAGTCCATGTTTGCTGGCTGACATTTCACTTCTAAGTATTTTCTCATACTGCATAAAGATTCAGATGTATACATGATGCTGTTAATTTAAGTTTCTTTAATACTCCATTAAGCTCCATTAAGTGAAATTTTGAGTTACTTATAAAAGACAGTAGAGTTATATAGAGTTGCTTTCCATATAATCCTAACCTCAATTTAAAGAGATTAAATTTTTAGGTAGTTGGAACGTCTTCCTAGTTTGTCAGCATTAATTTTCCAGTCATAAATTTGCAGTAGAGAATATTAACCTATGCAATTTTTTCCTTTTGGATATTATTGAAATTTTATTTATTATAGATATTTGAAAATATCTCATGAATCCTAGACAAAGAAGCACAGTTATACTTCAATATATGGCATTGGATTCATGACCAAATCTAGTATTTTTAATTATATTTTAAATAAAATCCATGTATTTTTGTGTGTACTTGGCCTATATTGTATCGGATAGTATTGGGTTGTCTCCTGCTATTTTCATCTCTATTTATCCTCATTTAAAATCAATTGTTTTATAGAATTTGTTAATATCTAAAATTAATGATTCTTATACTGTAGGTTGTATCTTTTATCAATGTGAAAACCTTTTTTTTTTTTTTTTTTAATCCCTTGGGTATCAATTATCTTGAATTCCTATTAGTTGTTTTTGCTTATTTGTTTTTTTTTTTTTTTACCTCAGGGGCTGTTTGGCACCTGTAACCCTTAATATAATACAGTGATGATCTAATTCAAATGCTTATTATATCAAAATTTTAGCAAGTTTATTTTGATTATTTAGGATAATGTATAGAATGCTATATCTGCTATTAATGTAAAGGAAAATTTGAGGATTTAATGTTACACAAATAACATTAGAAAAGTAATTTATTTGACATGTTATTCATACCACGTTTATTGAGTCCTTGCCACCTTTCATTATAGTAGTGCTAGGGATACAATTGTGAATAAGACATGATCTCTGTTTCAAGAATTTACAGGAAATTGGTCAGTGGTTCTGAGCATTTTTGATCATGAATTCCTTTGATAATTAGAAAGATTTCCACACCACTACTTTCATCACACACACTCCAAAATGTTGTACACATTTTCAATGGACTCATAGGCCTCAAGTTAAGAAAAGTTGGCTAGTTTAATTTACAGTTTGCTGCGTTATAAATAAAATTGGACCTGGAGCTAGAAAATCTGCATTTGAAACTTCTGATAGTATCTGGTGTAAATTTTGACAAACCACTGAAACCTCTCTCTAGTTATGTCCTCTACTAAGTGAAGGTAATGCCATCTGCTTAGCAGAATTGATGTTCTATTCAATTAGATAGTACAGGTAAAGAACTTCTTAAAATTAAAAAGCAAAATTTTACTAATGGACTAAATTGTCTTATTCATGCTTTATTAATAATTAGTGAGGGGCTAAGGTTGTGGCTCAGTGGTAGAGCACTTGCCTTGCATATGTGAGGCACTGGGTTCGATCCTCAGCACCACATAAAATTAGTAAATAAGTAAAACAAAGATACTGTGTCCATGTTCAACTAAAAAAATTTAAAAAAATAATTAGTGAAAAACTAAATTCTGATCTTTTTCCTGTCATTACTTTCATGAAACTAATACAGATATAGCTGTAACAGTTTGTGTGTCAAGATTTTCTAATAGAACTGACACTTTTCCTTTAGTGTAATTGGATTATTAGTCTGTGTTTTATCATTACTATAAGTCAGCTGAACACTGGCTACTACAGGCTCTGTAGTAGCCCTATTTTTTGTATTTTATTTAGAGACAGGGTCTCACTGAGTTGCTTAGTGCCTTGCTTTTACTGATGCTTGCTTTGAACTCTCGATCCTCCTGCCTTAGCCTCCCAAGCCACTGGGATTACAGGTATGTGCCACCGTGTTCAGCTATAGAGTCTATTTTTTGATCTCTTTAAAGATTAAAGCTACATTACAAAACCAGTACAGGATGTGTAGTTTCTTACAGGCAAAGTTCAAACCTGAACTATGGAGAGCATCATCAGAGTTACAAAGAATTGACAATAACTGTGGCAGAGGGAGACCAAGAGTTTGCAACATGGTTTAGTGACCCTTGGTAAAGTTTCAAAGTATGATGCATGTGTCCTTGACCCCTGTACTCTTCCATCATTCAAGTACCCAACACTTTCACACTTCCTTCTGACAACTCAAAGCCTCTCATTACACATTTTCAGTGTTTCCTGTCATCACTTTGCAAAATTTACAAACTGATGCTTGCCCATAAATAATTATTTAACAACTGGCATCAAATTTATTATAATGATCATATTCTGATAATTTATTAAATTTAAAATCATGCATATTTATGAGATTATCTTCCACTAAAATGTTCCCCCAGATTCACTTAGATTATAACGCCCCAGAGTATAAACAGCAACTTTACAATCTTGAAGGTTAAAATGCATCAAAACATATCTGCTGCAAGTATTTCTTTTCTTATACATGATTTAATCAGATATGTGAAATTTGAATAAAACAACTTGGAGGTAAGTTTTAATCCTGAAATTTGATAAACCACTGAACTAGCCATACTAGATATACAAAAAGGAGATACTTTAATTATTTGTTTTTTGGGGGGTTTGTTGTTGTTTTCATTGTAGATGGACATAATACCTTTGTTTATTTTTATGTGGTGCTGAGGATGGAACCCAGCACTTCACATGTGCCAGGCAAGCGCTCTATCACTGAGCCATAACCCCAGCCCTCATTTATTATTTTAATTTATAAAGAACAGAAATTTTTCAGTTCTGGAAGCTGGGAAGTCTGAGACTAAGGTGCTGGTATTTCTTTTTTGGTGAGGGCTATTTGGTGTTTTCATATGGCAGAAGGGCAAAATAGCCACACATGGCATGAAGCCTCTTTCTTGTAAGAGCACTAATCACATTTATAAAGGAGACCTCTCATGGCCCAATCATAAGACTATTAATACTATCTTATTGCAATGCCTCAGTTTTGGGGGGAACACATTCAAACCATAGCAACCTGTACATTTCTCCTTCTCCAGCTAGCACCATGTTAACCTCTGCGGGTAGAGGGGGTTGGAAGGATGTTGCAAGGAGAGGGTTTCATTTCTCCTCTTTTATGGCATAGCTGCTAAGGGCGCTCTTAGGCACTATGGTGGTTAATTTTATGTGTCAATGAGACTGGCCGTAAGTACCTATATATTTGGTCACACATTATTATGGATATTTCTATGGGGACATTATTGGGATGAAGTTGACACTTGAACCATAGAATTGTATAAAGCAGATTGTCCTTCATAATGTCAGTGGGTTGCAGCCAATCAGTTGAACATCTGTATAGAATAAAAAGATCAGCTTTCTTCAGGCAAGAGAAAATTCTCCAGCAGACTGCCTTAGGACTAAGATTGCACCCTCAGCTCTTCCGAGTCTCCAGCCTATCGGCTTCAGTAATCATGTGAGCCAGTCCTTAAAATAAATCTGTATGTACACAGCATATTGGTTCTGCTTCTCTAAAGAACTCTTTTTTTTTTTTTTTAAAGAAAGAGTGAGAGAGAATCTTTTTTAATATTTTTTTAGTTTTCGGCAGACACAACATCTTTGTTTGTATGTGGAGCTGAGGATGGAACCCGGGCCATACTCATGCCAGGTGAGTGAGCTACCGCTTGAGCCACATCCCCAGCCCCTCTAAACAACTCTTAAGAGAGAAACCCTCTGAAGCCTACCAACCAACAAGTTTCATTCATACATCAACAGGAGGCTTCTTGCTTACCAGTTCCTGTGTGCCAAGGCCTGATCCACCAGCTACATACAGCCCTAGTCCAGAGCAAACCTCCGATGTTTTCATCATTGATTGGGCTGCAGCCATACCATCTGATAGACCTGACTTCATCATAAGGAAGGAGAACCTTTTACAAGGATGTTCTTTCTTTGAGTACTCATTCTCAGTCCTAGGGTACTGTCTTTCAGTGTAATAGAATTCTCTGTTATCCTCTCTTATTTAATTCCATTATCACTCAAATTAATAATATGCTTGTGTCTTCTGACTAATATGAGAGTTAATGTCATTTCTACTATTTTCTATTTGAAGGTTTTTAAAAGAGCTATACAAGTTTTTGATCACCCATTATATGTTTTACATAAAAACAAATGACTATTTTTCTTTGTCTAGTTCTTGTACAGAGGAGTCCAAATTTATGACATCAGTCATGATTATATTGTATGTTTTACTAATACACTGAGATATTTACAGTAATAATCTACAATCTTAAGAATATGCATATTACTTCCAAATATGTTGACTAATTTTTCAAGAGAATACTGGTGAATACTTGTACAATGTGATTTGCTATAGAATTTTTATAAGCTAATAAAATGCTTTAATAACAAATCAACCTAAACTGTTTTGGAAATAACTTCTACTGAAGAATCATTATCAGATAGTCCTTTGATGACTGTATAAATTCATGCAGTATATAATCTCTTTGCATAAAAACTTCCAAGACTGCAGTGATTTGTTTATTCTATGATTCTGTGGAAAATTACATTATTTTCTCTGACCTGTCTTAAGTTTCAACCTGAATCTTCCTAGGGTTCTTCCTTTTACCTATTTCTTCCTCCAGAAGCATGATGTACTGTTTTGCATGTAAGTTTCATAGCCATCTCTATTTTTTTCTGTTACGATTCCTTGTTGACATCAAAAACAACACCTTTTAGAAAAGGAACTGTCCAGACAGCATTGTCCATTATATTTCCTTGCTGATCCCAGCTCCATTGACTCACTTAGTATCAGTCCTCATATCTTTAGGATTAATCACCAGGTTAATTTTAGTAGGTCAGGGCAGTATTGCTGCTGTCATGGTGCTGTCTTTGGCACCCTGTACTCTGTGCAGCACTCTTTGAAATTTCATGTATTTATAGACTTCTGAAACTCCAGTGCTGGCAGTTGTAAGGGTGCCTGTTTCACTTGGAAAGTATTCTAGGATTTCAGAATGACATCTTTCCAATGCAGCATATTGATGATACATAACAAACATCTCTGAGGTAAAGAACATTTCCTCCTGACCCCCCAACTCCTCAGTTCCTCCAGGATCAAATCATTTTCATCTGTTTCTTCTGAGGGAACCCAAAGTAAGATAATCTAATGTTTTATTCTTTTTGACATGTTATTTTCATTCTCTGCAAGTTTCTTTGAAATCTTCGTTCTCATCCTGCAGCAAGTGCTGGATCTCCCTCAGGTCCTGCTCCTTTTTGCTCAGGAGTTTGGTCACTGTCACAAACTCAGGCTCCCCAGATTGTAACTGGTCTTCTGACCCTGCCTGGTGCTAGGCAGGTCTACAAGGGCCCACTGGGTGGGGCCAACCACCTGGACAGAGGACAGACAGTACCACCATCATCATTGGCTCTGAACTCTGTTTACCATTGAAGAATAAGATGAAGAAACTGGGGAAAGGACAGGTGTTGCTTGAGTTCAGCATTTTAAATAATTTCTATTGAACTGTGTTTTACAGTGGTTTTAATTTTTCATTTAATTAGTCCAACAGTGTGTGTGTGTGTAGCAGGATACTGAAATTAAGCCCCAGGACCCAGCATATGCTTTCCAAGGGCTCTACCACTGAGCTACATACCCAGCTCTTTTAATTTCATTTTAAATGAGTTTATTTCATTTTGAGAAAGGTTCCTCAGGCTGGCCTTGAATTTTCAATCTCATGCCTGAGTAGCTACGAGGTTATCTTTTAATAGCAGAATTCAGTTTAGTTTAGCACTTATAAACATGATTTTCCCTTTTATCTTTTCTGTTTTTCCATTGTTTCATTTTCTCATTTTTACTGGTTTATCAAGATACTATTTGTGACAGACACTGCTGATGGCCCACTTATTCATTCCCTCCTTTGTTCTCAATATCAGCACCTAAGTTTTGTTGGGAGTAGTAAAGTACTCAGTAGAAAAGTTGTGGTCCTGGGCTGAGAAGAATGCCCATGTGGCCGAGTTCTGTGTACTTGAGTGGAAGTTGCTAGAAGAGGCCTCTGAAAAACCTTAAAAAGAGGATAACTCTTTTAAAAAATATTTATTTTTTAGTTTTAGGTGGACACAATATTTTATTTTTATGTGGTGCTGAGAATCAAACCCAGTGCCTCACGCATGCTAGGTGAGCACACTACCACTTGAGCCACATCCCCAGCCCAGAAGAGGATAACTCTTGATGAGAGAAACTTCATAGTTCTCTCTCCTTTTCTCTGCTTGGCAGAAATAATGGCCATATAGCACTCATAGGACGACACTAAAGATGGAAGTAGAATATTAATAGTAGAAGAAGAAGACAAAAAAAGACTGAATCCCCGTGGAATTACAGGCTGGGGTGGTCGACCTTGAGGCATATTTTATATGAGGGGAGAAGTTGTAGCATCTTCTAATCCTGTGGCATTATGGGTTGGAGACTGTATATGCTCTTCAATTTTACTGTATCTCTGATTGTTGGATTCACATGACTATTCAGTTCAGTACCAGGTCTTAACTGATAGTTTTTGTAGATCTTGCAGAGGACACTGGGCCTGGACCTTGTATGGAGGTGGCTGTCGTCTTGTCTCCCTCCTGTAAGCAGCAGTTTGACACAGACCACCTTCCAACAGAGACTATAATTTGCTTTAAACACTACTTCAGAGGTGCAACCCTATCTAAGTGGTCCCCTTGGTGTTCTAGTTTCTCACCAGATGAGACCTGTGATAGATCATAGTCCCTGCCCATTCACCTGCCCCATCCCAGTTCAGGGAAGTCTTTTTCTAGCAGAAAGGCACAATCCCTTCTCACTCATCACTCACCATAAAATGAGTTCATTCGCTTTAGTGGATTAATTTATCACCAATTAAAAGATGACTCTCAAAGTTTATGTCTCCTACTTCAACCTCTTTTGTAAGTTCCAGACCATACATTGAATGACAACTTTTTGTAGTTTTTTTGTTATTATTTCCGTGATACTGAGGATTGAATCCAGGACTTTGCACATTCTGGGCAAGTGTTTGGCCACTGAACTACATCCCCAGCCCTTTTAGCTCTTTTCTGTTTGTTTTTGTTGTTTATCCTTGTTCCTGGTGTTTATTTTTATTTTTATTGTTTATACTTGTTTGGAGTCTTGGAGATTGGTAGTGGAAATACACGAATGAACTCAAAGCACACTTGCACTAGAAATTCTCCATTTACTCTTAGTGTTTCTTTTTGTAATTTAATTTTAATTTTTTTTATCAAAATAAGAGTTATTTCATCATAAAAATTCAATTGTTCTACATGTATAATGAAAACCAGAAATTCTTTGTTGCATTTCTCCATACCTCAGCTTATTCTCCCCAGAAACCAATGAGTCTTGACTCCTGTATCTTTATATTTCTAAATAGCAATGCTAGGCTAGCTATCTCTAACCCTTTTAGTTTTAGATATTATCTGTTAACTTCCTACCATAGAGGAAGAGAATTTACCTCTCTTACATAGCACTCACTTCTACATGCTCATAAACTTTTCCAGCCTCATCCATCAGCACAATTATTTCGAATATTTTAGTTAAATCTGTACTCAAGTATTTATCTCATTATAATTATTCATAACTGTGCTATTGTATTGTTAAAATTCTTGTACCAATTTTTGCTTTCCCTGAAGTTTAAAATTACTTATTGTTATTGGTCTCTAAATTCCCCCCAAAGAAGTAAGAATCTGTCCTGATATATTTAAACATACCATATTTTATTATTACTGTTGTTGTTGTTGTTATTATTATTATTTCCCTGAAGCTCACAAGGCTCCTGATTCAATGTGGATAGGTTAATCTGTATATCTTTAAGAATTTGCATATTTGAAAAGGTTGGTTTTGTTTTGTTTTTTTTCTCTCCTCATTGTTGACTGACAATTTTACTGAATATAGAAAAATTATTTTCTCTTAGAATTGGAAAGCATTTTTCTATTGTTTGTTAGATTCCATGAAGCTATTGAGAAATTCAAAGACATTCTTATTTCTAATCCTTTCCATATGATTTTATTTGCCTGAAAACTTAAGGATTGTATTTTTCTAGCTATGCTTTGAAATTTCTTAATGATTTGGTGTGAGTCTTTATTGTGTGGAGTACTTGGTAGGCCTATTATTTCATATTATGTATCTGATAATTTTCTCTTTCCTGTTAATAGAAATCTATTATTATTATATTTTTATCTTTTTTCTCTGTCTTTTTCCTATACTAATGTAAATTTCTTAAATTTTATCTCTCTCCCAATTTTGAGAGTTATTATTTTGGTCTTTTAGTATTACTTTTTAAATAAAAACTTTTTTTCTTGCTTTGGGGTTGCAATATTATATCTTTACGCCTCTAGAATTTTTAAGTGTTTTATTTTATTCCCTACATTTTTGTTTTTTTCTCAGTCCTTTTTCTGTTTCAGTCAGTGTTTTTCATAATGGAGGCTTCCCTCCCATGCCAGGTAATAATTAAGTTTCCTGCTCATAAGGCACTTTCATGAAAACTTATTGTGAGCTTGGTTCTCAAGTGCTACTTATTAACCAATGAGTCTCTTTGTAGGGTGAGCAGCAGGGACCTGTTTTCTCAGGGAATAATGGTATCTGTAGATTTGCTTTGTTTTCAATATATCTGTCTCCTTTGAAGAGACTACTCCAATTTTCCGTCTGTAGAATAATAAGGTACATGTGAACAAACCCAGATTGAGCTGTGGAATGCAGCTTGAGCTCTGGATTTCAACATGTAGACTTTTGATCCCTATCCCTACCTTTTGAGTCTGGAGGCCTTTAATTCAACCTCTCTGCAAAGCAAATCTGCAGAATCTGGTTGAAGTGAGGGGTGGGAAGGGCCTTGCAGCCTCTGACTGCTGCTTCTCAAACCAACTTTAAAGGAAACCCCTTTTTTTCAGCCCTCCTATACCTCTACCTTCAGAGAGACCTTGTACTTCCAATTCCTGACACTTTTGGAGTTCTTCAATATAAATTGGAATTGTGTGTGTATTTGTGTGTGTGTGTGTGTGTGTGTGTGTGTGTGTTTGGCTTGTCTCTCATCTTTCAGTGTGCATACCTTTCATCTTTATCCAACATTCTAAGTGAATTTTGTAGGTCCATGTTTTTTTTCCAGTTCTCCTCAATTTTGTTGATTTCTCTGGTCTGTTGTTATCTCCTTTCTGCTTCAGTTTCATGCTTATGATTTGTTTTGTTTGCTTGCTTATGTTTGGCTTTTTACTCCATGCACTATTGGTTAAGAGAAATACAAAGAAGAAACAGAGGTAAACTTATGCATTTAACCCCACTGCATCTATAGTTAGTTATTTTATATTTTATTTTCCACCCTTTGACATCCCTGTGATCTTAATTTAACATCTTCTGGCAAAGCTGAATGTTTTTATCATTCCCTTCCATTGC